TCTTTCTAGTACATTATCTATTTCTGAAATATTTATATTAACCTTTTGGATTTCTATTTGCTGTTTTTGGATGGTTTCTAATTTTTCTTTTATTTTGTCTACTCTTGCATTTTTTTTTAAAGTTATTCTAGAGTTTCGTCTGTTTTCCTTGATTTAGTCTGTTTTTCTCAAACTTTCTCTCAATCCACTGAAAGTACCTATATATAATTCTCTTGAATTATTCACCAGGCAGTTTCAATAGCATATTTTCTTGCAAAAGATTATCTGGCCCTGTATTTTGGTCATTTGTTTGAGCCACATTCCCCTGTTTTTATATGTGATTTTAAGTTGCTTGTTGTCTCTGAAACATTATAGTGTTATTGTATTGATTTATTAATTGTATGTTGGTTTGCTTCACCCTGATTGTTTTGTTTTAATATATGCAGACAACAGGGTGAGCATGTTAATCTAGTCATTAGTTTTGCAGCACTGGGGTGCTCACCACCTGTCTCTGGGTGTATTGGTAGGGGTGGGAATGTGGGTGTGAATCTTTGATGATACAAAGTACCTGAGGGCAATCTAGGTGGCTGTTGGCTGCTGTCTATCATTAATCCAGTGGTACTTGTGCAGGTGGTAGCACTTGCCCAGTGAGTGGGACAGCAGGTGTTGTGGATATTGCTGGGAAGGGTCACTGTCTTCCAACTGTTAGGAAAATACAGAAACAAAAGAACAGAAAACAAGATGGAGAGGGGGAAGAAAGTAAAAGAAAAAAAAAAGGGGCGGGGGGAAGATCACAGACCTAAGAGGAAAGAAAATGAGAAAAAAGAAAAAGAAGAAAGAAATCAAAACAAAGCAAACATGGCACAGTACTGGCACAAGTTCTAGCCACCAAACAGCCAAAGTAGAAATGTGGTGCTCCCTCTGTGGGAGTGCACATCACTAAATATGGAGAGTCAGGGGTGACACTACTTAATGCAGGGTGAGAGTTAAGGGACTTCCTCAACCAGATCACAAAAAAAAAAAAAAAAGTCAGGAAGAAGAATAAAGACAAAGAAAAACACAAGATAGGGTGGAAAGAAAGACAAAAAGGAAAAGAGAGAAAGAAAATTGGCACAAATGTTAGCTGGCAAATGCAGCTGCAGTGAGAATGTGGATCTCACTCTGGGTGAATGCACACTGCTGTCCATGCCCATGGAGGGCTGTGATTGGGCTCTGCTGACTGGCAGGGGTAGGAAGGAAGGAAAAAAGAAAAGAAAGAAGAAGAAAATGAGAGGGAGAAGAGGGAAGAACTAAGAAGAAAGCAAAAGGGGGGAAAATATAGCACAGTGCTGGTGAAAGTGCCTATTATCAAATACTGCTGCACAAGAATGTGGCATATACTTCATAGAAGGACACACTTCTGACCAGAGTCTGTGGACTCTGCTAATTGTGTGGACTGTCAGGGGAGGGGTGCTTGCTCTTTAAGATCCAAAAATAAAAAAGGGCAAGAGAAGAGGAATAAAAAAAAGGAAAGGAAAAAAAAATGGAAAGGAGTGGAGTTGTCATTGTTGTTGTTCTTAGGTGCAATTGGGTCAGCTGCAACTCACAGCAACCCTATGTACAATAGAACAAAATATTGCCTAGTCCTGCACCAGCCTCACAATCTTTGCTATACCTGAGCCCACTGTTGCAGCCATTGTGTCAATCCATCTGGTTGAGAGCCTTCACCCTTTATGCTGACCCTTCACTTTACCAAGCCTGATATCCTTCTCCAGGGAATGGTCCCTTGTGACAACATGACCAAATTAGGTGAGATGAAGTCTGGCCATTCTCACTTCCAAGGAGAATTTCAGCTGCACTTCTTCCAAGACAGATTGTTAGTTCTTCTGGCAGTCCATGGTACTTTCAGTGTTTTTCACTAATATCACAACTCAAAAGCATCAACTCTTCTTGGTCTTCCTAATTCATTGTCCAGCTTTCACATGCATATGAGGTGACTGAAAAGACCATTATTTGGGTTATGTGCACCTTATTCTTCAAAGAGATATTTTCCTCTTTAGCACTTTAAAAAGGTCTTTTTGCAGTAGATTTCCCAGTGCAGTACATCGTCTGATTTCTTTACTGCTACTTCCATTGGTGTTGATTGTAGAACCAAATAGTATGACATTTTTGACAATTTTAGTCTTTTCTCCATTTATCAGGATGCTGCTTATTGGTCCAGTTGTGAGGATTTTCATTTTCTTTATATTGAAGTGTAATCTACAATGAAGAGTATAATCTTTAATCTTCATCAATAAGTGCTTCAAATCATCTTCAATTTCAGCAAGCAAGGTTGTGTCACCTACATATCACAGGTTGTTAATGAATCTTCCTCTAATCCTGATGCTGTGTTCTTCAGGGAACTTCCAGAAATGCAAACTGGATTCACAGGAGGATGTAGAATAAGGGATATTGTTGCTGATGTCAGATGGATCTTGGCTGAAAGCAAAGAATACCAGAAAGATGTTTACTTGTGTTTTATTGACTATGTAAAAGCATTCAACTGTGTGGATCATAAAAAAATTATGGATAACATTGAGAAGAATGGGAATTCCAGAACACTTAATTGTGCTCATGAGGAACTTGTACATAGACCAGCAGGCTGTCATTCAAACAGAACAAGGGAATATTGCATGGTTTAATATCAGGAAAAGAATGTGTCAGGGTTATATCCTTTCACCATAGTTATTCAATCTGTATGCTGAGCAAATAATCCCAGAAGCTGGACTATATGAGGAAGGAGTGGGGAGAAAGGAAGAACTAAGTAAAATGATAAAGAAACAAAGTGGCACTACTCTGGCTGTGGGGTTGGACTTTAACCAGTCACCAGGTGCTAGTGGGAGGGCAAATCCTCTGGTCATCTGACAGTTGTGTAAGATGATAAGGTTGTGTAAAGTCACCCAGAATTTGTGTAAGGTCCCACCTCTCTGATCATCCAATCACTGTTGTGTGTACTATTGCAGCCCTGGGCAAATAGAGCCAGTTATCTGGTTCCTGTTCCAGTTGGAAAGCTGTTTGCAATTCAAAATGGCCACACTGTGCCAGTTGGCAGATTACTGCTTCTTGTTTGCTGTGTTTTTTTGTTTTGTTTTGTTTTTTGTTTTTTGTTTTTTTTTTCAGGATCTTCCTATCATTGGTATTTGATCTACTTCTTTAGCCTTTCCTGTGAAGCTCTGGGCTCCAGGATTATAATCTGTAGTTGTTTCCTTTGGTTTCTTCACTTTCTGGTAGAAGGTCTGGATAGTATATCTGCCTAGTCTTCCACCTTGTATCCTCCATTATGCCCATTGTTTGATTGGATGGTTTGTGTTTTTGCTGTTGAAGTTTTCTATGTGCTTAAGATTAGACCCTTATCAGACAGGACATTCCCAAAGACTGTTTTCCTATTTCATAGGTTCTTTTTACTCTTTTGATGAACATAAATATTTCATTTTTAGGATGTCTCAGTTATCTAATTTGTCTTCTAGGGTTTGTGTATTTGTAGTTGTGCTTGATAATTTATTTCTCAATAATTTGTTTTCTTAATAATTAATAATTTTCAGATGAAACTATTTTCAAAAACCCTACCTTTCTGTCCAAATGGAACTCAAATAGCATCTTCTTCCTGAAAACAAAGGGAGAGGCAGGGGAAGACATTGGATTCAGAGTGTGACAGATGTGGGTTTAATCTTAGCTAAATAATTGTACCTCTTTCCTTATTTGTAGATTACCCAAAGGATGCTTGTGAGTATTAAATGAGAAAAAGTTTAGCAGGCACATTTTAGATATTTGATAAACATTAGTTCCACTTCCCCTAATGGCCTCAATCTGTCTCTTCTTCCTGTCTCATATCAAGTTCACTTCCCATGTGTGCATTGAATTAGATTGTATATGTACCTCTACTTCCCATCCCACCACTAAATCATAAGATTTTTTCCCTGAGCAGCACAAATGGTTTGTGCTTGACTATTAAAAGCTGGCATTTCAAATTTTCCAGTAGCTTCTTGGAAGAAAGGCCTGGTGATCTGCTTCCATATAAATTATAGTCAAGAAAACCTTATGGAGCAGTTCTACTCTGTAACACATGGAATCACCACATGTCAGAATTAACTTCACAACAACAGATATTTTTGTTTTTCTTATAGGCAAAGATATGTGCCTAGCATGTAACAGATACTCAACTTTGTTGGATAAGATTGAAATAATATAATATAGAAATGAAGACTGGCATACACTTTGAATATCTTCTTCCCATTTAGAAATAAGAAATATTTTTTAAAAAACATAATTTAACTAAAACATTAAATAAATTTGGGAAAATCTTTAGAAAGGCTTATAAAACCCTTGAACTAATTGAAAAGAACCCCAGTGGCTCAATGGTTAAAAGCTCAGCTGCTATCAGAAAGGCTGGTTGTTCAAATCCACCAACTGCTACACTGGAGAAAGATAAAGGAGTCTGGTTCTGTAAAATTACAGCCTTGGAAACACTTTGGAAGAAGTTCTGCACTATCCTACAGGGTTTCAATGTGTCAGAATCAACTTGATGGTAATGTATTGGGTTGGTTTATTTTAGAACAACTAAATGCCCCAATATCATACAATTTGCTTTCTTCTTACTACATCTTTACCTTTTTAATTTTTTGGTCAGTTTCCAAAGGTTTAATGCTGAAGTTAAGTGGAAATACCTTTCATTTAGGATTCTATTTTACTCTAGTATTTTTGTTTTGCCTATTTCTTTTAATTTTCAATTGTGAAATATTTTTCTATTCACTTTCTTTATGTAAATTTCTTTTTGAAAGATATTATTACCAGGTAATAATAAACAGTAGTACTAAATCTTACATTTGAGTAGCACTTTACTATATGCTTTGCCTCATTTGGTCCTCATAACCAGTTATCAGAGAAAGTAACTTGCCTAAGATTATGCAGATAACAAGTGGCAGAGGCAGAATTTGAACCCAGCCATTTTGCTTCCAGTGGAAAATGCCCTTTTCATTAAACGTGTTCTATCCTCCATTTTGCAGATTCGAAGATATGCTTTGGAAGGTTTCATGACTGAAAACAGAGAAGCAGGCATTGTATTTGGTTCTCTACCTATATATAGGGTGAGTTGGAAGTCTCTAGGACTAGAGTGGTAACAGAACAGTAGGGAATCTGACATCATATTTCTGACCTTGAGCTCCCAAGCAAGGTTGGAGAAAATCACAAAACCAAGCAGACCAATGTTTCCATAGATGTATTCTATTCAATATCAGATAGGTCTTTGGTCTGTGTGGCAATGGCCTTGATCATGTGTCTCAGTCATTCCATATGCTAGCTATTTCTAACTTTACCTGGGTATTCATCACCTACAAGATTAAATCCAGATTCTGTAGCCTGGCATAAAGTTTTTCATGATATGACTGCTACCCAAACCATGTTATTGCTGTTGTTATATGCCATCAAGTCAGACCTGATTCACAGCGACCCCTCCTTGGGTTTCCAAAGGGGTATCACTACAGAAGTAGATTGCCCAACCTTCCTTCTGAGGAGTGGCTGGTGGGTTTGAACCACCAGCCTTCTGGTTAACAATCAAGTGCCTTAGGCACTATACTATATAACTTTATTTCCCACCATTTTATCTCCACAAACCCTATATTCCAGCTTGCCATTATTGGACATCATTATTTTGTCTCACCTCTGTGATAATGCCCATGCTGCCCCATTGCCCAGAATTCATCCATCCTTTGTCACCCAGCCAATCCATAGTCATTCTTCAAGTTCCCACACCAGGCAACCTCTGTTAAATTAAATAACTAATTAATTCACTAAATAAATAATAAACCATTAGATATAATAACTTCAACTTAATCTTCATTGTTACATCTTAAACTATTACTTAAGCTTTCCAAGAACATGTTAATTGAAATAGGTATCAAATACTTAAGACAACAGATGAGCAGAATGCCAGGAGTAAATTATCAAGAATCATTTGTGGACAAGAGTTCTGGTAGCACAGTGCTTAAAGCATCTGACCGCTAACCAGAAGGTTGATGGTTCAAACCCATCAATCACTCCATGGAAATAAGACTGAGCAATCTACTTCCAGAAAGATTTACTACCTGAGAAACCCAATGGGGGCCTCTATGAGTTGGAATCAACTCAATGGCAGTGGGTTTGGTTTGGTTTTTAGGTATGTGTGTAAGAGGTGTCTTTTGAAACAAGTAGGCCTTCTCAAATCTTCCTATACCCCAAATTTCCATGAGGAGAATAATCTTTTTGTCTCTTGGATTCTTTATTTATGGATTCTAGGTACCAAGCCCCACTACTCTAAGATTCCTACCACTCATTGGTTCAGAAGCACAAAGGGACTCTTTAGATATCCTTCCAGGAAAGAAGAAGGGAGGTCATGTTCAACATGAAAGAGTAAGTTACTACTTTGAATTCCATAGTATTGATATGGGCCTAAAGTTGTCTCAAATCACACTCATTTTACAAATATTATAGGATGTGTGTTTTAGCTCAATGAAACAGAAATCATGAATTTGTTGGATGGGGGGTGGGGGAAATGGAACTCTGAGCCTGAACCAGTGATGCTTTTCTAGAGCTTTAAGTCTTAAGTTCATTGATTTGCTTTGGAAGTTAGACAACTTAACATAACATCCTTGCTTCTTAATCTTCTTAAGAATAAGTACACTATAGGAGGGAGCCATAACAACGATGTTTCTGCTTACCAGTACAATCAAAGAGAATGTTTTTCATGCATTAATAGTAATGATTAACATATACAACACTTCATAGTTTACAAAGTACTTTTATAAATGATTCATTTGATTTTCACAATAATTATTAAAAAAAAATGTTATAGTCATTATAAAGTTGGAAATAAATGAGCCTAAAGACAAAAGTCATGTGAAAATTAACTGATAAGCTAAGATCTACTTCTGACACAAAATTTTATAATATATTATAAATTATAATATACCATAGCTCTGATGGCATAGTGGGTAAGGTATTTGGCTGCTGTCCAGGAGGTCAGGAGTTCAAACCCACCAGCTGCTCCCCAGGAGGAAGATGAGGCAATCTACTTTGATAAAGATTTACAATCTTGGAAACCCAATGGGGGGCACTATGAGTTGGAATCAACTCAAAGGCAGTGGGTTTGGGTGCCCTGGTAGTTTAGTGGTTAAAGCACTGGACTGCTAACTAAAAGATCTGTGGTTTGAAACCACCAGCTTCTCCATGGTCTGCTTCTATAAGATTTACAGCTTTGGAAACCCTATGGGGGCAGTTCTGCTCTGTCCTGTAAGGTCACTGTGAGTTAGAATTGACTTAATGGCAGTGATTTTGGTATTTGGGTTTGGTCTCAAGAAATTTGAACCTATTATTTCTCCACTAGTTCTATGGAGCCTACATGGACATAACAGGTAGCAATTTTATAAGTTTCCTATCCATGAAGTCAGACAGAAAACAGAAAGGAGATGGTACTTGTCTATTGTTAATTGAATAATACCTAACAGATGCAACCACTGTGACTACCATCACCACAACCAAAAAAAAAAAAAAAAAAAGCTGTTTTATTTAATAAATATAGAAATGTTTAACTTAATTTGTTAGCTCTTGTGCAATTAATGAGAATATAGATTATTCCTTCTAATCATCTACTCTGCCAATTATTTGAGTAAAAAGTTTTGGCAACAGAAGAGTTTCCTATTAAAAAATAATATTATTAACTTTTAATTGTATTAATGGATGAAACACACTGGTATAAATAATCTAAACTAATAGGTAATCAAACAAGTATTTATTTGGGAAACAAGTGTAGTAGAGGATGTAGAGAAACTTGAAGGCATCAATTGTTGGGAGGATTGTAAAATGATACAGCCACTATGGATACCATTTTGACAGTTCTTCAAAAGTTAAACATAGAACTACCATATGGTCCAGTAATTCTACTCCTGGGTATATATCCAAAGGGCAAGAAAATAGGATAGGAACTCACACAGATACTTGTACACCAATGTTCACTGCAGAACTATCCACAATAGTCAAAAGACAAAAACAACCAAAATGTCCACCAGCACATGAATGGATAAACAAAATGTGGTATACATATAAACATTGGAATTCAGCCATAAAGATAAATGAAGTTCTGATACATTTTATGACATCATGAACCTTGAAAATATTATGCTGAGTAAAGCAAATCAGATACGAAAAGACAAATATTATATGACCTCACTTAAATGAAATACGTATGATAGGCAATTGCATAGAGACTGAAATTTATTAGTGGTTCCCAGGTAGTGGGGAGGGATTACTTTTTGCTTAAGGAGCACTGACTTTCTGTTAAGTTTGATGAAAAAAAAATGGAAACGAATAGTAGTGGTGGTTGCACAACATGATGAATGTAATTAATGTCACTGGTCAGTACACATAAAAATGGTTGAAATAACCAATGTTTTGCTATGTATGCTCTACCACAATAAAAATAAATATTTTTAGTCAGTTTTATAATGCATATATCTTGTGTACCATGTTTGCATTTTTATATATATTTTGCCTGGCCCAATATTAAATATACTCTACATTCTTTAAGTAAACACTAAGGTACAAATGATGGTTGCCAAATATGTCTTCAGCCCTTGAGGAAGAAAATATAAAATTAAGAACTGGTTAATCTACATAATGTATAATCTCCACTCAAATAATCAAAAGTTGAGACTACTATAATTAACTTTATCAGAGATCAGGAAGAATGATAAATTATTTGTCCAAACTCAAAAGAAATTTTTATTTTCTCCCAACCCTCTGCTAGGTCACTGGCCACACTAGAAAGATGAATAGAGCAGATGTCTCCATTTGTTTAAAAAAAAGGGGGGAGGTGCACAAGACCATGATTAAAAATATGTTCTGATTTGCAGGAGAGAGATAAGGGTAGACAGAAAGCTTACAAAATAAAATTAAGTCCTTTTCCAGAAAACTGCAGTTAGAAAGATTACTTTATTGATGTAAAATCTCAAACCTGGATAGCTTAAAGCACCACTATTTTGACTGTCTACAACCTTAGGAACCCAAACAGCCTAAATTGGAAAATAGTGGATGAAATCCAATCAATAAATATGAATCAAACAACTATTTTCATAAGAAGACTTCAAGGAAGGTGGTATAAAATGATCTCAGAGAGCTTAGGGTTCAAATTTCAATTTAGTAAAACCAAGATTCATGGAGTATCTTGAAATACCCACAATATGCCTTAAACTGTGCCAGACACTGAGAATCCTTACATAGACTAAGGAGCTCCCAGTGAATCCTATGAGCAGAGAAAAACCATTAACAGTTGTTTTAATGTCTTTGACTATTTTTAAACAAGAGAAACATTGATTGCAAGTATTAACTTCTTTAAATTATTTGTAAATCTTTTTAGAATTAAAAAAAAAATTACAGAACATTAACCACAGTGCAACTAAACAAATCAGTGTGTGTATAGTTCTCCACTTTTAATGTGGGAAGGAAGGGGGAGAAAATTAAGTCTGTAAAGTGTAAGCCATTTTCAAAGTTGTAGAAATGTATCCAATAATAATAATAATAAATTGTTAAATAAAAGATGGCATATCTGATAGCATTGTTGTTATTGTTGTTGTTAGATGCCATCGAGTTGGCTCCAACTCATAGCGACCCTATTTACAACAGAACAAAACACTATCTGGTCCTGCGCCAGCCTCACAATCCTTGCTGTACCTGAGCCCATCATTGCAGCACTGTGTCAATCCGTCTCATTGAGGGTCTTCCCCTTTTTCTTTGAACCCCCCCCCCATTTTACCCAGTATGATATCCTTCTCCAGGGAATGGTCCCTTCTAGAAACAATAACAAAGTAGGTGAGATGAAATCTAGTCATTCTCACTTTCCAAAGAGCATTCCGGAGACACTTCTTGCAGGATAGATTTGTTTGTTCTTCTGGCAGTCCATGGTACATTCGGTATTCTTTGCCAAAACCACAAAAGCATCAATTCTTCTCTGGTCTTTCTTCATTGTCCAGCTTTCACATGTATATGAGGTGACTGAAAATATCATCGTTTGGGTTAGGCTCACCTTAGTCTTCAAAGACACATCTTTGCTCTTCAGCACTTTAAAGTGCTAAATTTTGGAATTTTGCAGATTTGCCCAATGTGATGCATCACCTGATCTTGTCTCTGCTTTCATTGGTGTTGATGGTGGAATCAAGTAATATGAAATCTTTGACAACTTTAAACTTTTCTGCATTGATCGTGATGCTGCTTATTGGTCCAATTGTAGGCATTTTTTTTTTTTAATGTTGAGATGTAATCCAAACTTCAGACTGTAGTCTTTAATCTTCATTAGTAAGTGCTTCAAGTCATATACACTTTCAGCGTAAAATTGTGTCATCTACACTTCACAAGTTGTCAATGAATCTTCTTCCAATCCTGATGCTGCATTCTTCTTCATATAGTCCAGCTTTTGGGATTATTTGGTCAGCATACAGATTGAATAAATATGGTGAAAGAATACAACCCTGACACACTCCCTTCCTGATTTTAAACTATACTGTAACCCCCTGTTATGTTCAAATGATAGCATTCTAGTCTATGTACAGGTCCCTCATGAGCACAATTCAGTGTTCTGGAATTCCCATTCTTCTCAGTGTTATCCATAATTTGTTATGATGCATAAAATTGAATGCTTTTGCAGAGTCAATAAAACACAAGTAAACATCTTTCTGGTATTCTTTGCTTTCAGCCAAGATCCACCTGACAACAACAATAATATTCCTTATTCCACAACCTCTTCTGAATCCAGCTTACATTTCTGGGATAGAAGCAATAAAAATAAGTAAACTCTTATATAATGTAATGATAGGTAGAGATCAGAGCTATGAAGGAAAATATGGTAAGGGATAGAGTATGATGGGAAAGGAGAGATTCTTAAATGTCATTCTTATATCATATATATATATATGATCAAGGTCATATTTTGGCTTTCTTGTCTTCACCTGCAACTTGAACTTGCAAATGAGCAGTTGATGGTCAGTTCCACAGTCAGCTCCTAGTCTTGCTTTGGCTGAAGATATTGAGCTTCTCCATTGCCTCTTTCCACAAATGTAGTCAATCTGATTCCTGTGTACTCCATCTGACGAAGTCCACATGTATTTATGAAAAAAAGGTATTTGCAATGAATCGGTCGTTGGTCTTGCAAAATTCTATCATGAGATCTCCAGCATCATTTCTGTAACCAAGGCCAACTACTGCTGATTCTTCTTTGCTTCTAACTTTAGCATCCCAATCACCAGTAATAATCAACACATCTTGATTACATGTTTGGTCAATTTTAGACTGCAGAAATTGATAAAATCTTCAGTTTCCTTATCATTGGCTTTGGTGGTTGTTTCGTAAATTTGAATAATATGAGTATTAACTAGTCTTCCTTGTAGGAATATGGATATTATCCTATTACTGACAGCATTATACTTCAGGATAGATCTTTTTTTCTTTTTTTTTTTAACTTTTTATTGTGATTTGGGTGAAAGTTTACAGAGCAAATTCATTTTTCATATAGCAGTTCATGCACATTTTGTTTCATGACATTGACTGCAATTCCCCACAATGTAACAACTCTCTTCCCATTCCTCCCTGTAGTTACTACCACTTCATGCCCCCTGAAATGTCTCCCTGTGCATATACTCTTCTTCTGTTTTCCCATGACTGATCACTCCAAGTAGTGTATTTACCTGATGTAAAAGTTCAGCTCATATGCCTGTCTATTATTTGACTGGAAGCCAGCCACAGGAGTGAGTTCAATTCTAGACCTGAAGAGTAGCTAGGGGCCATAATCTCAGGGGTCTCACAAAGCTCTATCAGACCAGCAAACCTGGTCTTTGTGTGTGTGTGTGTGTGTGTGTGTGTGTGGTTTTGAGTTTTGTTCCACATTGTTCTCCCACTCTATCCAGGATATCCTACACTGATGCCCCTCTTAGTAGTTGATAGTGGTAGCTGGGCACCATTTTTTCTTCTGGTCTCATGGTCATATAGGCTGAGGAGTGCATGATCTACCAGTCCCTTGGATTAATTGTTTCCATGCATCTTTGGTTTTCTTCATTTGTCTTTGCTCTGGATGAGGAGAGATCCATCATTGCATCTAGATGGCTGCTTGTAAGCTTTTAAGATCCCAGTTGCTACTCACCAAAGTAGGATGTGGAACAATGTTTTTGTTGAACAATTGAGCTTGATGTCCTCTGTGACTATGGTCCTGAGTCCACAGGTCCAACTACTCACTCTGTCAGGGTAGCTAGCTGTGGACAACAAGTCACCAAAACCTTGTCCTTTGTCAGCTCTACTATATACCTGGACATTATTACAGCATATACAACTATGCTTGTAGAAACATTGTCTGGCAACCTAAATATGATCATGGGCAGACTAAACACTGCCTAGATGTACCTGATCATTCAGCCTGTCTACCTATCTATTCACTCAGATCAATGTTTGCCATCACTGACAACGCAGTACTGTACATGCAAAAAGGTTCATCTTTGTTGTCTGTATCTCCCATGTACCTCTCTGTGTCTTCCTCTTCCTCAATGCTACCATGTTGATCACTCACATTTAGTTCATTGCCCTTCCCTTCACCCAAATCATTACTTGTCTCTACCTCTCTAGCAGTGTTCCCTCCTCTGCCCTCCCACCCTGGTAACCAACAAAGAAAGTTTCCTTCCATATATAATCCTTTCCTTAACTAATTAAATAATGAACTAACACTATATTTGTCCTATGATTGACTTATTTCATTCAACATAATGTCCTCCAAGTTCATACATGTTCTGCAGTGTTTTGCAGATTCTACATTACTCTTTAGTGTTGCATAGTATTCCATTGTGTTTATGCACCATAGTTTGGTTATCCATTCTTCTGTTGATGGTCACCTGGGTTGTTTCCATTTTTCTGCTATTGTAAGTAGTGTTATGATGAACATGGGTGTGCATATATCTGTTCTTGTCTTGGCTATCACTTCTTTAGGATATCTATCTAGTAATGGGATTGCTGGATCAAATGGTATTTCTAATTCCAACTTTTAAGGAATCACCATACTGCTTTCCACAGTGGTTGTATCATTTGACAGTCCCACCAGCAGTGTATGAGAGTCCTAATCTCTTCACATTCAGGATAGATCTGGAAACATTCTTTGTGATGATGAATGCCATGCCATTCCTCTTCAATTTGTCATTCCTGGAATAGTAGATCATGTGGTTGTCTGGTTCAAAATGGCCCAATCCAGCCCATTTTAGCTCACTAATATCTCAGATATCAATCTTTATGCATTCCATTTCATTTTTGGCAGCTTCCAATTTTCTTAGATTCATATTTCATGCATTCCATGTTCCAATGGATGTTTCCAGCTGTTTCTTCCCATTTTGAGTCATGCCAAATCAGCAAATGGAGATTCTGAAATCTTTACTCCATTCATATCGTTAAGATTGACTCTACCCTGAGGAGGAAGGCCTTCTCCAGTCATATTCTGAGTGCTTTCTGACCTGAGGGGTTCATCTTCTGGCACTACATCAGACAATATATCAGGGCTATTCATAAAGTTTTCCAGTAATACATCAAGCAGTGTTTCACTGCTATTCATAAGGTTTTCACTGGCCAATTCTTTGAGAAATGGATGGCCCCTTCCTTTTTCTGAGTCTGTCTGAAGATCCACTGAAACCTGTCAACTATGGGTGACCCTACTGCTATTTGAAATTTCAGTGGTGTAGCCTCCATCCTCACAGTAACACACACAAGCCATCTATATTTGTCCTTCTGTGATTGACTTATTTCATTCAGCAGTATAGTATACTCTATAGTTTTTGCAAAGAATATTTAATGATTGCAAAATTCTCACAATTTTATGTGAAAAGAGTGTAGAAAGTACAACTCAGTAGTATGGCTAATGATAATGGCTAACATTTATTTTAAAAACTAGTGTGCTAGACATGACACTGAGTATTGATCTATATGCTTTCATTTAATCTTCACAACAACCTCTGCAGCTTCAGGTAGTTACTATTTTCATCTCCATTTTACAATTGAGGAAACTGAAGCACACAGGATAAGTAATTTGTCTATGATCCCAAAGGAAGCAAGTATTAGAGCTGGGATTCAAACCCAACTTCAGAGTCTGGACACTTAAATACAGTGCAGTGTACTTCAGAGACTTATTTTCCTCTAAAAAATTGTTAGTCTAGACCATGTGAGAATTTACACAGAATGACATTTTAGAATCTCTCCCTTCCCATCATACTCCGTCTCCTTACCTTATTTTTCTTCATAGCTTTGATCTCTACCTAACATTACATTATCTAAGAATTTACTTATTTTTATTGCTTCTATCCCACTAGAATGTAAGATTCATGAAGGGAGGAATTTTGTTAGATTTATTCTGTGCTGGAACTCCATTATTTAGTATAGACTGACACATAAGACACTCAAAAACAATTTGCTGAGGGCTGAAATCCATTAAATGGGGAAGACATGGTCTCTTTACCAAATGGTGCTGGCAAAACTGGATATCCATTTGCAGAAAAATGAAACAAGATCCATACCTCACACTATACATAAAAACTAACTGCAGATGGATCAAAGACTTAAATGTAAAAACCTAAAACTATAAAGTTCCTCAAGCAAACTAGGGGCAAATTTAGGTGCCCTAATTTATGGCATAAATAGACTGTCAAGAATAACCCAAAATGTACAAACAGCTGATGATAAACTAGGTGAATGGTACCTTCTAAAAATTAGATTTTTATGTGCTTCAAAAGACTTCCCCAAAAGAGTTCAAAGAGAACCTACAGATTGGGAAAAAATATTTGGCAATGACAAATCTGACAAGGGACTTTTCTCTAAAATTTATAGAAAATTCTAACATCTCAACAACAAAAAGATTAACAATACAATCAAAAAATGGGCAGAAGACATGAATAGATACTTCACTAAAGAGGATATTCATGTGGCCAATAAAGAAATGCTCATGATCATTAGCCATCAGAGAGATGCAAATCAAAACAACGAGTTACCATCTCACCCCAGCACTAATGGCAAAGTTCAATGAGACAGAAAATAACAAATGCTGGCAAGGATGTGGAAGGATTGAGACTCATAAACTGCTGGTGGGACTGCCAAATGATACAACCACTGTGGAAAGCAGTATGACGATTTCTTAAAAAGCTGGAATAAGAAATACCATTTGACCCACTATCCCATTACTAGATATATATCCTACATAAGTGAGAGCCAGGACAAGAACAAATATATGCACACCCATGTTCATCATAGCACTATTTATAATAACAAAAAGATGGAAACAACCTAGGTGCCCATCAACAGAAGAATGAATAACCAAACTATGGTACATGCACACAATGGAAAAAACACCATATAACATGGATGAAATTGGAGGACATCATGCTGAGTGAAATAAGTCAATCTCAGAAAGACAAATATAGTATTCATTATTGTAAAAAGTCAAGGAAAGGTTTACATATGGAAGAAAACTTTCTTTGTTGGTTACTAGAGGTGGGAGACGAGGGGAGGAAACACTGCAAAAAAAAAATTCATTCACTCATGTCACTTTAGTTTTGTGTATTTCACTGTACATAAATTTTATTTCACTAAAATTTACTTTAAAATAACTTTGCTGAATGAAAGAATGGATAAGTTAAAAAAAAATAAGGAGAATATAGAATAAAGGAAGGAAAGTCTACTGCACCTTGAGAAGTTCCCTCAGCTAAGGTGTGACAATTAGTTCTAGGGAACTAAGCCTCCAATCTTGCCTCAGGGCTGAAGAGGGCCAATCACACAGTCACATGTAGTCCAAGCCCAAAGGATTTTTAGGCAATTCAATCTTCACTTTAGGAGCTCAGTCTGCCTTTCTCTTTCTTTATTTTCCTTATATTTCTCTATATTTCCTTTCTTTTTCCTTCTTTTTCTCTCCTTCCCCATGTTTAGGTACCTCTAGTCAATTTTGTAATCATAGTGACCCCATGAGACAGAGTAGAACACCCCGTAGGGTTTTCTAGGCCATGATATTTACTGGAGCAGATCTCAGGTCTTTTTTTCCTTGGGTCACTAGGTGGGTTTAAACTTGTTTCTCATTTTTGTGATCATGAATCGATGACTTTTTTCCCTCTGAGTCCATGAAAGCTGATGATATAAATATATGTTATCTCTAAACTTAATGAAGTAGTTCTGGTAGCATAGTGCCTAAGGCACTTGACTGCTAACCAGAAGGCTGGCAGTTCAAACCCACCAGCCATTCCTTGGAAGGAAGGTTGGGCAATCTACTTCCATAGTGATACTCCCTTGGAAACCCAAGGAGGGGTCACTATGAGTTGGTTCCGGCTCAACGACACAAAACAACAACAACAACAACAAACTTTATGACAACCTGCCAGGCCCTGTTGTTTTGTTTTTTAAGCCATCTCTTTACAGATTAGGGATTTGAGTTCCAGAATGGATGACTGCTTTGTTCAAAGTAACTCTAAAACTTCTGTTCTTCCCACAAAACTATTCTGGAGCCCCACTTCCTGATTCCAATACACTTTATCTTTGATGTACACAGGTTGTCAAGGAAATAGCTATGCTTTCTTTCCAACCAAAAAACAAACCAGTTGCCATTGAGTGGATTATAACTCATGGCACCTCCATCTGTTGCAGAATAGAACTGTGTACCATAGAGTTTTCATGATTATGACTGTTCAGGAGCATATTGCCCAACCTTTCTTATGAAGTAACTTTGGGTGGGTAACTTTTGGTTAATGGACAAGTTTACTTTCTAGGAGGATTAAAATCTCTAAATAAATTAGTGGTGCAATTTAATTCTGGAAAAATATGTTTATAATGTCAGTTACTAACAGACACACCCTTTATTTTACAGTTACAAGGGAGGAGGAGAAGTTTGAAAAGAAATTTAGTCCCACAAATAAATCTAGCTTCTTCCTTCTTCCCATCTGTTTCCAAGTAAAGAAAGGAAAGTCAGAAGCTGCTGCTGTAGCCTGGTCTGTACATGGAATGTCAAGGGCTGGACGATACCTTGGAATTTATTACAGTGTAAGAGTGAGCTTCTACCAGACACTGTCAGCCTTCCCTGTATCCTTAGGCCATCCTGTTGAGGAAGAAGATTGCTCAGAGAGTACTGGTGTCCTCAGCAAGCAATACCAAACAAGCAGCAAGCAGCGAGTTTGCCAACTTCTTTCACCTACTGAAATCTACTCAATGAATAGGTAGTGTTACTCGTTCACTGTCAACAAAATGATACATAAGGGCACAGATGAAATCAGTAGCATAAGTAGATTTAAATATGAGTTATCAATGGTTAGTTTTTCATCTTCCCCCATTGTTCACCATATTTGGAGAATTATTAACAGAAAACATGCATTAAGAGTCAAATTACTGTGTCATGCAATGTGGTGTACAAAGAGAATTATTATTAAAAATAAATGTGAGCTAGTTGGATTTCTAGCTATTTTTCTTGTTCATTTGGAGATAAAAATGTTATTTGGGAAAAAAAAAAAAACATTTAGTCCTTTAAATAAAGCATGAAATTATTACAATTGGTCTAGGAATGATGCTAGATAAATAGAACTTGAATGATTATATAAAATTTCTGAGGTTCATCTTTTATTAATTCTTTAAATAATTGATTTTTGTATTGTGGCCAAATAAATAATTTCACCAATGTGTATTCATGTAAAAAATGAAAGCAGCTAAAGTTGATCAACAATACATGAAACTTTAAATCTGTGAAAAAGCATGAGGAAAATTAGAATTAAAGCATGATGACTGGGTGACCTATTCTTCTTCTGGAATGACTTTGAGTTTTGAATAATAAAAGTATTTCCACATCAAAGGCTAGCCTACTTTCTCCAAAGTACCAAGCCACTTGGTAAGAGAAGGTTGTGGTCCTTTTATAGTATTTGATTCTACCTTTCCATTGTGTGAAAGATGTTATAATTCTTAAAATCCCAAAATCTTTTTAAATCTGTGAAGACTTATGATCAGAATAACAACTTATTTTTTAACAAATGTCAAATAAAAAAGAAATCTAGGTGCTGATAGGGAGAAGCTTTATTCAGAAAAGAAAGAAGAAAGGGAAAGAGACTGTTGTGGTAGTGGCTAAGGAGGACAACTGCTGTAGGGAGAACACTCAGACAACTCAGACCTGCAAACTTCTTAGCCAGTTAGAGGAAAAGCATCTTTTTCTTTTATAGACACTGAAAGTAAACAAGGCTTGGGCAAAAAACAGATGTGGGGAAGTGGGATGAGAATGTGGCATCACTGGACAGTAAATCAAAACGTTTTATGCAGAGGTCAGCCTGCTCTGTAGTAGAGGGCCCTTAAAGAGATGAGTATGTTGGCTCAGGTGGAGAGTGGGCCAAAATTCAGGAACTTGGGAAAAGGAAAAAAGCTTAACCAAAATTTGGTTAACAAGCACTCTTGTTTCTGATTGCTCAGTGGGCATAAGTAATTCAATTACTGTGTTAGGTTGGGTTCTCTAGAGGAGCAAAACCAGTAAAGCTTATATATACAGAAAGAGAGAAATTTATCTTAGGAAAATGGCTTACACACTTAAAGAAGCTGGCAAGTCCCAAGTTCTTGGATAAAATGTCAAGCTGGAGGCTATTCTCAACTTAGGCAGCTAGCTGCAGGGGCTGACAAGCTCAAGGTTGGCAGGCAGTATACCAGCTGTTGACCCCAATGAATGATGAATCCAAGATCACCAGGTCAAAGGTGGATTGTTCACTCATGGACAGTTGTAAGCAGCACAGCAGGATCCTGATCCACAGAAGATTGTCTCTTTTTTTCCAAAGACGTCCATAAATAAATTGGAAGCAAGCTATATCCCTAGAGAAACTCCCCTTCAATGGACTGGCTGCTCAAAACATATACATCCTATTTCATCATGGGAATAACCCACATCACAACTGCTTTAACCACTCAGAATTATGGTCCAACCAAGTTGACACACAACTCCAACTCTAACAGTCCACCTCTTGTCAACTTGGCAGTTGTACACATCTCCTTAACCATATATAATCTCTCTAAATAAAGACAATTATAAAGTCATTTTTGTGCTTAATGTGATACACTAACACGTGTACAACCTAAATGCATTAACTCTACTTACATTTCATAGTTCATAACAGAAGGAAACAAAAATATTTGATGCACATATAAAATGAAGAAATATAACAATCACAGTCCTTGTTTCTGCAACTGGTCACATGGTTGTAGCTGATTGTTCTGGTTACCTAGTGCCACTCTGACAGGAATATACCACAAATGGGGTGGCCTTAACAAACAGGAGTTTATTCTCTTATAGTTCAGGAGGCTAGGAGTCCAAGTTCAAAGTGCAAGACTCTACGGGCTGTGTGAAAGTCCCTCGACCTTGGGCTTCAGCTCTGCCTCTTGCCTCCAGCCCTGAAGCTAGAGACATCTCTTCACTCAGCAGCTACTGGATGCTGAAGCTAATAAGCCCAAGGTCGACAAATAAAATGTCACAGTTCCAATGTTACCAAACAAGACAGCAGGGCATTAAATCAAGTCCATTGTAAGTCTGAAGGTCAACAGTGTATGGCAGGCTGCTGAACAATGACATGGCTACATGCAGGGCCCAAGTGTGCCATAGGCTGGAGACCATTCCCAAAGCTGCTTCTTATATCCGGGAAGAAAACCACATACACAAAGCAGCTACTCAACTGCTCTAATAGATTCCACCATAAAGTTAATTACCAGTTATTCCATGGGGAATAACTACATCCAGCTGCCCAGCCACTTAACCAGGCCCTGCCAAGTTGACACACAGACTTAACCACCACACTGATATTCAGAACTACCTTCTTCCACCACCCATTCCATATTTTCTCAGCAAGCACCTCAGCTGGTTGTGGTTCTTTGCCTGTTGGGGTGACCCAAACCTTCATTCCTGAAGGGTCTGGGCCATTAGTAGTCATATCAGAATTGGGTTGCTTTAATTTTCCATTGACTTTTACCACAGGGCATGGTAGTACTAAGAGACGTCCTAAAGAATCTCCTGTATTCCAGACATATTCTTCTTTACTTCCATTACATAATGTCAATCCAATTTCCTCTTGATAATCAGGATCTATCACACCAGATAGTATAGTAATTCCCTTCTTTGTCTGTTGATCCAGAAGCATAAGGAAGCCAAAATGGCTGGTTGGCATTCTTAACTTCCAGTTCAATGAAATCAATATTGTGGCTCCAGGAGGGAGTGTTCCTCCCTTTGGGACTAAGATCTCCAGACACAGAGCATAAGGTACAGGAACAGGAAGCAAAATTTTTTTGAGTGGCTTACTAGGGGTAATAGTGAGTGGTACCACTCCTGTTTCCATGCCTTGGTTTCTTGACCCATGAATCCTGGCTATTGGAGAAACAGCACCATATATTGGATGCTTGTTTAGAGCATATACAGCCTCCTGGAGAACATTGCCACAACCCTCCAAGGTATTGCCACCTAGCTGGTGCCATAATTGTGTTTTTAGTAGGCCATTCCATCGTTCTATCAAGCGAGCTGCTTCTGCATGATGGGGAACATGGTAAAACCAGTGAATTCCATGAACATAGGCCCATTACCTCACTTCATTTGCTGTAAAGTTGAGTTCCTTGATCTTAAGCAATGTTGTGTGGGATACCATATGGTGGATAAGGCATTCTGTAAGGCCACAGATGGTAGTTTTGGCAGAAGTATTCCATGTAGAGAAGGCAAATCCATATCCAGAATAAGTATCTATTCCAATAAAAACAAAACACTATTCTTTCCATGATGGAAATGATCCAATGTAATCAGCTTGCCACCAAGTTACTGGCTGATCACCCTGAGGAATGGTTCTATATTGTGGACTCAGTGTTGGTCTCTGTTGCTGGCAGATTGGGCACTCAGCAGTGGCAATAGCCAAATCAGCCTTGGTAAGTGGGAGTCCATGTTCTTGAGCTCATGCATAACATTCATCCCTGCCACCATGGCCACTTTGTTCATTAACCCATTGAGCAATGACAGGAGTAGCTGGGAAAAAAGGATGACTGGTTTCCACTGAACATGTCATCCTATCCACCTGATCATTAAAGTCCTCCTCTGCCAAGGTCACCTTTTGGTGGGCATTCACAAGTTGTTGTTCTTGTTAGGTGCCATCAAGTCATCTCCGACTTATAGTGACCCTATGCACAGCAGAACAAAACACCGCCTGGTCTTGAGCCAGCTCCATGATTCTTACTAAACTTGAGCCCATTGCCACTGCCACCATGTCAATCCATCTCACTGAGGGTCTTCCCCTCTTTCATGGACTCTCCATCTTACCAAGCATGACATCCTTCTCCAGGGAATGGTCCCTTCTGACAACATGACCAAAGAATGTGAGATGAATTCTGGCCATTTTTGTCTCAAAGGAGCATTCTGGTTGCACTTCCTCCAGGACAGACCTGTTAGTTCTTTTAGAAGTCCATAGTACTTTCAGCATTCTTTACCAACACCACAGCTCAAAAGCATCAATTCTTCTTCAGTCTTCCTTATTCATTGTCCAGCTCTCACATGCATATGAGGAGATTGAAAATACCATGGCTTGTGTCAGGCACACCTTAGTCCTCAAGGAGACATCTTTGCTCTTTAGCACTTGAAAAAGGTCCTTTGCAGCCAATTTGTCCAGTGCTATACATCGTCTGATGTCCTGACTGCTGCTTCCATTGGCATCAATGGTAGAATCAAGTAATGGGAAGTCTTTGACAATTTCAATCTTTTACCCATTTATGGTAATGTTGCTTATAGGACTAGTTGTGAGGATTTCTGTTTTCTTTATATTGAGATGTAATCCCTACTGACTGCAGACTGTATTCTTCCATTTTCATCAGTAAGTACTTCAAATCATCCTCACTGTCAGCAAGCAAATTTGTGTCATCAGCATATCACAGGTTGTTAATGATTCTTCCTCCAATCCTAATACCATGTTC